CCCCTTGACCCATCAAATTTGAACCGGTTAAATCTATTATTAACGGAATTATCAGAACCAAATTTCAAATTGTTTTTTGGATTAAATAATGTACCGGAGAACGCTTTTGAAATAACGGGAGATTCCGTTGCTAACTTACCAGATGATATGCCGCTCAGCTCTTTGGAAACTATCGTTCAGGCTCTTTTGGAAGTCATGATTTGTGGTGCTCCTTCTGTTGGTTTGTATAATTTACATTTGATTTATGTATGTTTTTTTTTTCATGTGGATCTAATTTTTACTTGAATCCTTGAATAGATGTGTCAAATACATGGAGAGCTCGTTGGATGGGACTTGTCGCAAGTACAGCATTTCAACATAATCCAGCAATACAACCAAGAGCGTTTGTTGCGTTAGGTTGTTTGGCATGCGAAGAAGTTGACGATGATCTTCTATATCAAATATTAGTGGCATTAGGAGGAGCATTAGATAATTTTTCTGAAAATGATTGCTCCTTAATTCAGAGTATAATAATGTGTTTAACGAATATAGTTGAAAAATTATCAAGAGAATCACAATACCTTCGATCAATGTTTTGGTTAACTATGGCACTTATTCAAATTGGTCACATTCCAATATTTCAAAGCGCTGTTAATCTACTACAAGTGGTATTGAGAGCTTTGGAAGCTCAAAACTTCTTTGTAGAAAATGATCTTGTAACATTCTTATTAAGTTCAAGAAGACCTTTAGAAAAAGTAACAATGGAGATGGATATAGAAGCAGGAATTAATTATTCGCATTTTTCATTTGCCGTTGCTGCAGTTTTATTAAAAGGATTAAAAAACCCTTTAACAAAGACTTCAACTCAGGCAGCCTTACTCGTATTTTTAGATATAGCAGCAAAAGGTGTTAATCCTAAAAATAATATAATTAGTTCAAGTATGCTAGGATATTTAGCAGCCCTATTACCAATGTCAGCAAAAGATGCTGATATGAAAGGATTACTTGGACTAGTTGGAATATCGGACATTGATGTTGATGACACAGAGCTACAAACATATTTTAAGATATTTGAAAAACTTGAGATTCCGGATAATCGAACCGCTTTGCTTTTAATCTCTTTAATGGTTACAATGTTACATCATGCTGAAAGTGAAGCTGAAAGTTTATTCTTGTATGGATTTTTGTCAGAAGCGGCGAAAATTGTTCCGGAATCATTCGCCTTAATGTATGTTGCTTGTAATTTATAAAATTGTGCTTTATAAAAACTTTGACAAAATATATTAATTCCTTCCCTTTTATACAGTTATGATACTCTACTGCCAAAAATGAGCCACATTGTGTCGACCAGTGACACGATATCAATATTGGACGCAATACATTCAATACTTTACACCGTTGTGTCCGAACCTCTTTACAAAAGGGCAAATGATAATCAATACTCTTATTTATCAGAAATTGGATTTAATCATTTAATGGATTGTGGATCCTTTCAAAATGTAACAAGTGAGAAAAAGGCCATTAATGCTAGATTATCTAGTAAATTGGTTCAATGTATTATTAATTATTAAAACAAAATTGTTTAAAATTGTTTAAAATCTACCTAATTTTAATTTAGTGAAAAAAAAAAAAAAAATAGTTTAAATAATGTAGAGATATTAATTTTATTTTATTGAGAAACAAATAAATATTTATGTGTAAAAAATTATTTTCTTTAACATTGATCTAACGTTACCTTGTAATATTGACGAATGAAAATCGATCGCATCTGATGTCATAGGCAGACTCCCCCTCATAAATTCAAATAATAATTGCAGATCATGGGACATATCCTGTGACCGATATTACGACAAAAAGATTCAAAAAATCGAAAAAAAAATCAAATGACATCATTTTTTACGCGTAATTTTTGGAAAAATTTAGATGACATCATATTGTTTGCTATATCATGTGGGACCTTTGCAATAGAAAAGGGGGAAACGACTAGAAAAATAAAAAATAAATTAATGCTACAGTTCGTGACATAATTATCCAGAATTTTATTATTAGTACAAAAAAGGCACCATCACATCAACTAATATAAAAATTAAAATAGCAATTCTTTAGCCGAAATATCGTGAAATTCTTCAATTCCAACTACTTCCTAATGTTTATCATACTGGTGATTTCAACAAATAATGTTCCGGTGATTATTGACTTACTTAAACCCAATCAAGAATTTGTGGACAACTCTTAAGGAAAAGTAGAGGAAAAGGTTAATGATTGGATTAGGGAAAAAAAAAATAGTACAGATTAGAGGTTGGACCGGTCGAAAATTCTTTAATCGGTTAATTAACCGGTTAAAAATTAACCGGTTCCAACCTCTAGTACGGATGCTTTTCAAGGCATAATTCGGATTAAAATATTTTCTTTAATTTTAGCTGATTGTATGTCGGATCGGATTAAAAACGGGTATACAATAAATAATTAAATTTTTATAATATGTTTATTGTATGAATTAGAAATAAATAAAATAGAATTTGTGATACTTTTATATGTCGTGATATATTCCGGATATTTATGTCGCGAGCTGTAAATCTAAACATATTTTGACCTAAAAATCATATTTGGTATATAAATATAAACTTGATTTTTTCTGGCTGTTTCTCCCCTTTCTATTGCAAAAGTCCCATATGATCAATTTTTCAAAAAATTTTATTTATTAAAAATAGGCTAAACTTTGATAATATCTTCTACAATATGTTATTTATTATATATAAAATAAGATTGTTTAAGTTATAATCTCTTTCTAAGTATAATTATCAATATAAATATTAATGCTCAATGTCTTCAAAATATGTTTATACAATTTAGATAATCTGTTCTCATATTACTACATAAAAAAAAAAAGAATTCTGTTATTATTGCTAAATATTAAAGTGCAATTCTGTTATTATTACAAATATTAATATATGATCTCTGATAAATCACAATTGTTAAAAAAGATATTTGAGTAGTAAATTCGTTTAAAATTTATATAATAATCTAATAATTGAATAGGTAAGTTAATAGTTATATTATATACTATAAAATATATTTATATTTTGGTAAGTTAGATTCTATTATATACCGTAAAATATATTCATATCTCAGTAAATTAGATTTTATTATATACTGTAAAGTATATTCATACTTCAATAAGTTAAGTTCTGTTATATACTATAAAATATATTCATATTTCAGTAAGTTAATTCAAATATTGATCATATTATTCAAAGATTTATATAAATGTTTCAAGTTAAATCAAATAGTTTCTTAATAAAATTAAAAAAAAATAAATGATAAAATGATAAAATAAGAAAAAAAAAATTAATTATACAATTAACTAAGTGTTATACCTATTTTAGAGATAAACTAATCAAGTTGCATCTAATAATTGATAATTATTTTTTTATTATGAATTTAGTCCTCTTTATATACTTTTAATATAAATCTAATATATCATATATATTAGACATATCAGTTATGTCAAATATAATAGTTATGTCAAATATGTCAGGTATATTAAATATAACAAATATGTCAGATATATCTAGTATATTCAATATATTGATCTGCAATTTTTTGCACTATACAGTTAGAACTCGATATAATGATTTGCAATAAACTGATTTTGGTATATAACAAACTTTATTCTTAAACCAAAAACCACTTATAATAAAATTTATCACTATATAGCGATTTTATTATAAATTTCACAATATTACATATACTGAACTCTGGTTATAAACCAGCTATAATTATTTATTCACGATAAATCGATAATGATTTTTTTCTCGTTTTACCAATAGTCATTATAAAAAATGGATTTTTTTCTTGATTTAACAATCGATCATCATTTCACTTTTTTTTAATATATCAAAATTATACTAATAAAGTAAATATCAAATGTTAAATAAATTAATATAAATATAAATTGGAAGATTTTATTTCTTTTATTGATCATCTTTTACTATGTCTTCTGAAAAATAAGTAATACAATGTCTATAGGACAAAATCAAGAACTTTGTCTCAAAAAAATAAACAATCAAAATCTTCAATCTCAATTATATAAATGAGTTTATTAGTTTCGATTAAATTTTTTTTTGTTCTCAAATTTTAAAATAAGAAATAGTATAGCATACAACATGCAAATAATAAATAATAAACAAATAATAACTACACTGCATTTATTGTAAAATTTGATATAACAAACTGTTATTTTTTTTTATTATTTAAATTAATATATCAAGAAAAATTCGTTATTCTGAATCCTCATTATAATGAATCAAAATCATCAAACCAACAGGTTCGTTATATCGAGTTCTGACTGTATATGGATTGTGGTCAGAAAAAAGCTAAGGAATATATGGAGCGTCAAGCCGAAAGAAAAAAGTGACTGATACATTCAGACTAGCGATTTATATCTCCGGATATATCTGAGACTGGGCTATATAATCAGAGGCTGAAAGTTTGAAGATAGAAATTAAAGTTAGCCAGTATTATTACATGAGAAAAAATATGTAAATAATATTATACAAAACGTCTTAACAGCTAAGTATTCTTAGTTGAAATTGTCACATCTCGCTAAGAGTACTTATCCATATAATTCGATGATATCGTCTATATTAGCTTCAGATGAATCATCTTTTTATCATCATGTAATTTCGATAACGTTTAGTAGTATGTGATTTCTAGGCCAACTACTTTGTATCATGTGTTTCAAAAATCTGCTAATAACTTACACTCATCCAAATAATATGATGTTAAATATTATTCTAAGGACATTGCTCACTTCTTAGTAACTAATTTATACATACTGTCTCTATACTCTATATTATCTTAGAAAATTTCTGCAAGTAGTGTTGTTAGCTTTATACAAATTGATTCCTTCTGCTTATCTAATGCACTAAGAAAGGAAGACCAATAAGCATCATTTTCTGAACATTTTACTATTTATCAGCATAAGTGATGTCATATAAAATTTTTCACATAAGAACATGCTTCTTTCCATAGATGGGATATGATAGTCTCATTTTTTTTCAGACTACCATGTAGATCTTTGATATATGCCTTAACTCACTTCTCAACTGATTTTTGCACTAGATCATCTTTCATATTTGATACTTCGTCTTCATCTAAATCTTTACCATCTTTCAATTTTTCTATGGATTCAGACGACGGTTGGTATCTATCATCCTAATTGATAAAGCGTGCACAGAGATTTATCACGCTCTTAAAATAATAGCTAATATTGATTTTTTTGTTAAATTTCTTTACTACATCCAAAAATTTCATAAAATCCCTTTTTTTACTTGTTGATTTCTTGTCACAATGATCAACTACAATATACTCAAAACGCTTGCCTAGTTCTAGGATTTCATAAAGATAAGGTTCAGATGTTAGGCCCTTTTTTATAAGCCGTTTAGCATCAGCTACTTCACGGATATGTCTATCTCATATCTGTGAAATGAAGCACTGAACGGATTTGTTATCTTTCATACATATATTTGAACTAATTCATTAGGATCTACTTGGATAATATTATTTACAATCTCTTGGAGCTCATCTTCTACAATCTAATGCATAGTACAAATATTATCCAACCTCATAGATTTTTTCATAATCACCTTATCCATCTTGCGAAAATATTTAGACTGCTACCGCTTTACAATCTCAACATCCTGAATGAAAAGTTCATTATTAAAATTCAGCTCCCTTATATGTGGAATGCCATAGTATTTCTTCTTTCCAGTAAATGCTACTGGGAATAAAACTTCTTTATATGCTATTTTAAGATAAAGAAAACTGTTATCTTTCCTGAGAAAGTCATTAACATCATTACGAAGTTTTCCAATTACTTCTATAGAGATTTTCATCATTCTAGACTAATATTCTTCTTTTGAGATCCCATTGTTATATGTCTCATCACATTTCTGAAAGCATGCTTCTGGACAGATTAGATATAAGGAATCAGTGTTACTATATTTTATCTGAAAACTTTTGTTTTTAATGAAATTTGCAATAAATTTAATATTTCTCTATCCAGTAGATATGATACTTCCAGCAAGTTTACGTAAGAAGAAAGGGACTTACTATTTCCAGTTGTATCATAAAATGAATTCATGTATACTTTAAGAGCATTTTGTTTCACATCTAAGCAAGAATAGTCAAAACAAACTGAATTGTATTTTGTCATGAATTTATGCTTTTCTATATTAATAAAATAGTATAATTTTTTGCTAAAATTAGCACATTTTTTTCCCTCTATATTTGCTAAAATCTGCTTGATAGCTTCTGGTAATGATAAACCTTATCTATTAAACCTATTACTAGTTTCATGTCTTCTTTTTTATCTTTCAGAAAAGCAAGACATTTTTTCATCTCAATCTGTTTACTATATAAATATTCTAACGCATTGGTATAGAGACCTTTTTCTTTGGAAATATTATTATGTTCTATAGACCATATAAGAACATCATAATCATTGAATTTAAAATTAATTTCATAGAGTTTTTGCCACTTTCTTTTAGAGAGTTGATATATTTTTGAA